AGCCAAACTACCCTCTACCCCTCTCTCTTCACTAAAACCCACTATTTCTTCGTTCGGAGTACTGCAAACCACAGCATGTACATTGTACACACCGAAAGTTTAGTTGAGTGTCCCCTTACCACTCCTGGCCCGTATTCGCCCCTTCCCCTTCCTGTAATTCAAATTTTACGATTAAACCAACTTGAAAATCAAATATAAAAGGACTTGAATTTCAAGGGTGTGACCTAGGACTGAGCACGTTACTAATTTTTAAATCCTTTTCCGGTTTATTCGTTAATACAAGTTACAACGCGCGTAAAGGACAGGGCCAATAATTAACCGCCCGTTTTTAATGGAAAACGAGTAACGTTCGTTAGAACTCGTTGAGAAATCATTGCAAACTAGCCAGGAGGAGATCATGAATGGTGCGAAATGAATGGTACGCGTACGACTAAGTGACCTCGTTGCTCCGTTAATTTTGATTTTAGGCGCAATTATGAGAAAAGGCTAATTTTTTCGGTTATTTATTATTAATTAAAAACTATTTTGTTCTTAAAGAATTCTTCAAAAGAGGAATTATGATAAATATTATATTAATTTTAATCTTTCGTTCAATTACTTCAGTTTGATGTGATATAGGTTTTCATAGTGCAAATTTAATGAATTTGAGCCTCGTCTCAAATCCCTAAAAACAGGTTTAATTGAGCGCCGGCTTAAATCTTGAAACTGCATTGAATACGATTTTAAGTGGAACAACCCATATTTGAGCCAAGGCGTAAATTTAAACCGCGACTCAAATTCTTTTAATTCGGCCTTAGGTTCATTTATATTTCGAGAAATGTTATTTTCAGTTTTGGTTAGGTTAGATAGACATTGAAATTCTCTATGGAATAGAGTTTTTGGCACAAACTCAAATATCTTTGCAACCTAATGGTATTAACCTTTGATATTTTAAACTTAGATTATTTAGTCTAACAGAATTCATAGTTTGAAATATCTAAGGTTTACGCCAATAAGTTCCAAAGATTAGAAAATCAGAGTTTTTGGCAAAGACTCAACCTCCCCCCCCCATCCCCCTGAAAATGTATAGAGTAAAACTGTATAAATACCCTATTGTGTGTGTTATGTATGTACACAATATGTATGCTTGTTTACAAAATAAAACATATAAGAATATTAATAGAGAAAAATTACACTTGCTAATTAAAAAATCAATTTTTGGGCGGGATTATGTTTAAAGCACAATTGTATACACTAATAGTGGTAATTAATTTTGCAAAATAAACTATATTAATAAATATAGAAATATATTAACGCTAGGTAAATAGCCATAGAGAATAGAATATATAGAGAGGAATTAACTAGAAAAAAGTGTAAAACGGCCATTTTGTTGTACTGTTTCCATACTGCAGGTATACTTCACATATTTATGCTATATAACCTGTTGGGCCCTGGAATATCATTTTATAGAAAATCTAAAATTATTTGACCAATTATCATTTCATATAGACTCTATGCCTTCCACTTTACAAACGATGATTTTCCGTTATAACCATAAATCAAATGATGTTTTTATTCACCTAATTCATTATGAAGTTTATTTTACAGTTTAAAAAATCGAAATTGAAATGGATAGTCTAGGGAACATACTGTATTAATGTACTCTACTTCATATAATTTGTGAACATTTACATGATTTGTACACTTTGAACTCCCTTTCAGGCTGAAAGGGACTGAAAAAATTCATACCGAGAGATTCTTTTAATTCCTGTCTATATATTCTATTCTCTATGTAAATAGCACGCTTCGCGCCTATTTTTCTGACAATAAACTTAGCTTTTTGACGTTACACAGCTGTACATTTCAAAATGATAACAATAAAGAATTTTTTTAATAAATGTTCCTTTTTTACTTTCAGACCGATTAAATATATTATCAAGTACATTAGATTTGTACACGCTCAGTACAGTACAGCTGTATTCTATACGTCACAAGTGTCAACAGTTTTATGTGTCCGACAAAATTCTTAATAATATAGTGATAATAAAGTGCTTATCTTACAGTGAAATAAGTGCAATTTTGTGTTCTATATTTTATTGTTTTTACACTTTTTTATATAATCTTGGAAAGCATGTCAACTAATGGGAGAAAATGTTGTTTTCCTTGTTACATTTGACACTTGTGACGTCATGTATAATTGGTCCATATCTGTGTTGCCCGTATTGTATTGGATAATCTATTTAAGGCCAATAAAATAAATTGACCACCCTCAATTTCTTAAATGATTGGGCCTGATCGGTTCAGCCGATTCAACATTTAATGGACACAAAGAGACAAGACAAATCTTATTTTCAATGTTTTCTATTTAAATCTGTAAAATGCTTTTTGGGTTGACATTTTAAAAGTTTGTTCTCGATGAAATGCAAAAACATCAAATTAATTTTCTCTCCTTTTTATCAACTTTTTGTGCTGAGTAATATGTCTCGTTAATATTCGTTAGACCTACAAAGAGAGAGTGTGGGGGGAGGGCAGGCCTTTTGGCTGGTAGGGGGAGGGGGGGTACACTTTTGGAGAAAAGAGATTTTTGAAAAAAAAATAATTTACAATAATTATCCTTCCAACTGCAGCCTTTTAAATATTATTCATTATTTGTCAATCTTTCATAATAAAACTACTCAACATTTGTATGGTGTAGCTTTTTAAACCTTACATAAAGTTTAGTGATTTTTGGGTTGAATAATAAATTCTTTTCATTTTAAGATTTTTAGAAAATGAATCGCAGGATTATCACAGAACAAACCTGTGTGTAATTCAGGATTTTAAAAGCTATAAAAGTATTATTGGTAGGATGATTATGTAAAAGGATGAGTAAAGGATAAAATCTGGATGAGAGAAGGATGGTATTTGGATGTTTGGTGGATGATTTTATGGATGAGAAGAGTATGTAAATAATGGGAGAATTTAATTAGCCATATGAGAGGAAGATGCATTTGGATGAAGTTTCGTCTTGAAGAAAAATACGTAAATCCGCGAAATAACAATATAAAAATCCAAGAACTCAAACCATCCAAGACAGAACTGCATAATTAAAAAAAAAATTAAATATTACCCTTTACAGTCTACAGAACATATCTGTTATTTCAGTAATACATTCATTAATAAGGACATCTTTTTTTTGGTGGAAATCAAGAATTATGAAAAAATTTATTTAGTAAAGGAATAGAGTTTTTGACACAAACTCAAAATTTGAAATTCATATATCTTTCAAACTAGATGGTTAAAACCTTTGATATTTAAAATTCAGAATATTTGATCTTACATATTTTAAAGTTTGACATATTAAACGTCTAGAACTTCGGGTTGCAGAGATAGTAGATTAAAAAATCAGCGTTTGTGGCAAAAATCAGTTCCTTTGGAGGAATCTAAAAGTAAATTTTTTGTAAACGTGTTGAAATAAAGAATTATTTTTCGGCCAATAACATGTATTAGAAAAAAACTTGATAGTGTTAGAAATCATGAAGTAGAAAAAATCTTTTTTGGATTGTAAATACACCTTTGTTTGGGTTAAACATGCTTGTTTGCAAGAAAATAATCAACCTAATTGGTAAATATTATGACGTGTCATGGTTTCCAACTTGGATAGAAAAAAAAAACTTGTTTGGTTTCCAAAATTGATCGTACAAACAAACTTGTTTGGTTTCCAACATTGATCGTAAAAACAAAACTTGTATGGTTTCCAACATGGATTGTAAAAACAAACTTGTTTGGTTTCCAACATGGATTGTAAAAACAAACTTGTTTGGTTTCCAACATGGATTGTAAAAACAAACTTGTTTGGTTTCCAACATGGATAGCAAAAAAACATATTTGGTTTCCAACATGGTACGTAGAAACAAACTTGTTTGGTTTTTAACATGGGTTGTAAGAACAAACTTGTTTGGTTTTTAACATGGATCGTAAAAACAAACTTGTTTGGTTTTCAACATGGATTGTAAAAACAAACTTATTTGGTTTCCAACATGGATTGTAAAAACAAACTTGTTGGGTTTTCAACATGGATCGTAAAAACAAACTTGTTTGGTTTTCAACATGGGTTGTAAGAACAAACTTGTTTGGTTTTCAACATGGATCGTAAAAACAAACTTGTTTGGTTTCCAACATGGTACGTAGAAACAAACTTGTTTGGTTTTCAACATGGATCGTACAAACAAACTTGTTTGGTTTCCAACATTGATCGTAAAAACAAACTTCTTTGGTTTCCAACATGGTACGTAGAAACAAACTTGTTTGGTTTTCATCATGGATCGTAAAAACAAACTTGTTTGGTTTCCAACATGGATTGTAAAAACAAACTTGTTTGGTTTCCAGCATGGATTGTAAAAAAAAAACTTGTTTGGTTTCCAACATGGATAGCACAAAAACATATTTGGTTTCTAACATGGTACGTAGGAACAAACTTGTTTGGTTTTCAACATGGATCGTAAAAACAAACTAGTTTGGTTTTCAACATGGATTGAAAAAAAAAAAAAAACTTGTTTGGTTTCCAACATGGATTGTAAAAACAAACTTATTTGGTTTCCAACATCGTAGGTAGAAACAAACTTGTTTGGTTTTCAACATGGATCGTAAAAACAAACTTGTTTGGTTTTCAACATGGATCGTACAAACAAACTTGTTTGGTTTCCAACATGGGTTGTAAGAACAAACTTATTTGGTTTCCAACATTGATCGTAAGAACAAACTTGTTTGGTTTCCAACATTGATCGTAAGAACAAACTTGTTTGGTTTCCAACATGGATCGTAAAAACAAACTTGTTTGGTTTCCAACATTGATCGTAAGAACAAACTTGTTTGGTTTTCATCATGGATCGTAAAAACAAACTTGTTTGGTTTCCAACATGGATAGAAAAAAATTCTTGTTTGGTTTCCAACATGGATTGTAAAAACAAGGATTTTAGGAAGGTTTTGGTTTCTCATAAATTTTGTCTGAAATCTTTTTCAAATTTCTACAGTTTTTCAGACACATTAGTTTAAGCATTGGAAGTTTCTCTGAAAATCCAGCACTATTTCAAAATGATTTAAACTTGCTCTGCAATTTTTGAGTTTAGAGGGAATAATGACGAAATTTCAAGTTATCCTCCATTTACAAAGAGGTCTGTCTAATTCATAGCGTTTATAGTATACCCTTTAAACCGTTGTTTAAGCATAGAAGACGGAGAAATACGTAATTTTCTCTCTAAAACTTTAGTGCCGGCAGCCGAGCACTTGATTGTACTATTGTGTACATTGTGAACTCCATAGAAATGACCGAACACATTTTACGGACTAGAACTGATATATCAGAATATTATTATTAATACAAAACAATTTGCATACAAAATAATCTGTAAGCGTAATTTCAAGTGACCCTCCATTTAAAGAGAAACATGCTCGATTCACAATAGTACCCTTCAAGGTATTAGGTTAGATCCCCAGCGCAACTTCCCCAGTCACAACTTCCCCGAGACATCTTCCCCAACAGCAATTTCCCCGACAACCAATTTCCCCAACAGCAATTTCCCCAATTACTAATTTCCCCAACAGCAACTTCCCCAACTACCAATTTCCCTAACAACAATTTCCCCAATCACTAATTTTCCCAACAGCAACTTCCCCAACAACAATTTCCTCAATCACTAATTTTCCCAACAGCAACTTCCCCAACAACAATTTCCCCATGCAGTAAAACAGCAACTTTCTCAACAACTATTTCCCCATGCAGTAAAATATTAAATATTTCCGTTTTTAACATTATTCCAATGAACAAATGTGCAATTTTAAAATTAATAATTCGCAACTTTTTTAATGTGAAAAAATCAGTTGTATTAGAGTCGACAATGTTGGCAGTTTATACACTGTCCTCGAAGAAGAGAAATGTTCTGGTGGATCCCAATAAGTATGAGTACAACCTATAATCAATGTCAAGGGACAAATCTGAATCATTCTGGAACTGTGTGGAGAAAAGAATCTTACTGCATGGGGAAATTGGTGTTTGGGAAGTTGCTGTTGGGGGAAATAAGTGACTGGGGAAGATAGTGTTGGGGAAATTAGCGGTTGGGGAAGTCGCTGTTGGGAAAATTAGTGACTGGGGAAGTTAGTGTTGGGAAAATTAGCGGTTGGGGAAGTTGCTGTTGGTGAAATTAGTGACTGGGGAAGTTAGTGTTGGGAAAATTAGCGGTTGGGGAAGTCGCTGTTGGGGAAATTAGTGACTGGGGAAGTTAGTGTTAGGGAAGTTGTGACTGGGGATATTGTGTTGGGGAAGATGTGCTGGGGATCTAACCTAACATCCCCTTGAAACCTTTATCTTATTAATTACGTAGAAGACAACTTAGTTTTCTTGCTGGAATGTTAATTCATTCTGATAATTTCCATCATAGTTTTCCTGCAGTAAAAATTCGAAGTCACTTTAATAGAGAACATGGATATCTAATTCATACTTGATCAGACAAAGTTTTTAAGGGTACAGTTGACAGACCTTTTAAACTATTTTGAGAGATTCCTTTTATAATCTATGAATTGTCCTCTATGTATTTTATAATCTATGAATTGTCCTCTATGTATTTTATAATCTATGAATTGTCCTCTATTATATATTATATTTATATGTGTTGGTTGTTGATATACTGGTCCCATCATAAAATATATAAAAAGAGAGGGATAGTGTTTCATCAAACATTAGGTGTTAACATGGTTATATACCAACCTTAATATTAGATCATGCAGATATATATATATATATGAGCTCTATAGGTGTATGTCTGTTTGTCATGGTGTATGTCTGTAAATACATTGTGTTCAAAACGTCTAACTAAACTTGAAAATTTGACTCCTAAATTTTTACATATAACATATTACTCAAAAAGAATTTAATTTTGTATTTTTTTTACGTGTTTTTGTTAAATACGTTTTATTTTAATTTTAACATGTATTGCTCTGTCTGTTGAGTCTGTATTATATACGTTTTATTCGTATTTTAACATGTATTGCTCTGTCTGTTGAGTCTGTATTATATACGTTTTATTCTAATTTTAACATGTGTTGCTCTGTATGTTGAGTCTGTATTATATATGTTTTATTCTAATTTTAACATGTATTGCTCTGTATGTTGAGTCTGTATTATATACGTTTTATTCTAATTTTAACATGTATTGCTCTGTCTGTTGAGTCTGTATTATATACGTTTTATTCTAATTTTAACATGTATTGCTCTGTCTGTTGAGTCTGTATTATATATGTTTTATTCTAATTTTAACATGTATTGCTCTGTCTCAGGTCTGTTGAGTCTGTATCATATACGTTTTATTCTAATTTTAACATGTATTGCTCTGTCTGTTGAGTCTGTATTATATACGTTTTATTCTAATTTTAACATGTATTGCTCTGTATGTTGAGTCTGTATTATATATGTTTTATTCGTATTTTAACATGTATTGCTCTGTATGTTGAGTCTGTATTATATACGTTTTATTCTTATTTTAACATGTATTGCTCTGTCTGTTGAGTCTGTATTATATACGTTTTATTCTAATTTTAACATGTTATGCTCTGTCTGTTGAGTCTGTATGTATAAAATATATGTGTTTTTCCTGTGTTTTGTGTATTAGGTTTTTGGTAAACATACACTTGAACTTATTGGGACTATATTGACCTAGAACCAATTATATTGAATTATTTAGTTAAGTATGCATACAACAACGCCATGCCTCATGCATGATTTAATATACACATTCTTACTAGAACCATATTTTTATCCCCCCCCCCTCTCCGGACCCCATCCACTATTGAAAACAGAAAAAGGAATTTAGTATTTGTCAAAAACTCTAATTTTTTGGATCCTATAATCATTGCAACATAGTGTCGTAAAGCCTAGATATTTCAAACTATCAATTATGTTTGATCAAATAATCTAAGTTTGAAATATCAAAGGTTTGCACCATCAGGTTGCAATGATATATGAATAAGAAAATTAGAGTTTTGGCAAAAAGACTCAATTCTTTCCGCGGACTTCTATAATGTTATCTTAGGTGTTCGTTAATCTTTGACGCTTAATCTTGATATCCAATATGGGTACTTTCAAATTTGAGGATTAATGTTTGATCCCTTTATTTAGGGTATTGACCGCCACGGGATATCATAGAACATAGAAAAAATGGCCTGCTTAAAATAGATATCAATGCTTAATCCCAACATTCACTACTCAAAAGTTTTAACTTCAGCTTCGGTATATATCAGGACAGTATAAAGTAACAAATAAGCTAAATATATTGTGAAAGAGCAGTGTGAAGCGCCTTAAATAGGCTAATTATATAAATATACCAATAGAGGGAAAGTTGATATTATTTTGTAAACAATAAAAAACGAAGGCTTATTGTTTATATAGAAAAATAATAGGTTTTTAATAAGACAGTAATATCACCATTGTATGTACAAATACAATAATTGTCAACAGTTCACAGTTGTGACAATACTTTTTATGGTAATGTAATCGCCCATTTTCTCAGAAAAAGGATTAGAGTTTTCGTGTTTGCAATATGATCATCTTGTTATATCATCTTCTTCTTGCAAAAACATTAATCTAACCAAAGAATACTTTTCATGTAGCATTTTTGTTTGTTTCGAACATAGTATTTGAAACTGGTTCCTTCGATTTTTCAGGGTCCCAAGAAGGGTAGGGTGCCCCTGAAAAAAATTCCCAGATGTGCGACAAATTTTAGCCTCTTAAAATAATTTTCCTAAATGGCCCAGCCATTTTACTGCTTTCCCCGCCATTTTAAAGTTAAATGATTTCCAAAATGGGATCACATTTTAAAATTTCTTTTAAAAAATACAGAGATAACCCGATTTAGCCGAGAATGGTTTAAAAAGCCCAAGAATGGGAAAAACAGTAAAATTTCTGAACCATTTAGGACATTTTTTTTAAAATGCTAATTTCATTTTTAATCTAGTTTTACCCCAAGGCCTCCAATAAAATGTGTCGCACATATGGAAATTTTTTTCAGGGCACTCTAAGGGTTGGAGTGGAGGCAAAAAGTGCCCCCCACCCTCCTCCAATAAAAATTTCTGGTGTGACAACCAAATTAACTTCTGATTCCCTAATTATATTCTCTATCACGCTTAAAATGCAAAATGTCACAATACAATATATACAGGATTACCCTTATATTTATCATTCCCGGAAAATGTAAACTAGTTTCTCTCTTCGTCAGATCTGCGTTTCAGGCAAAAAACTTAATTTTACCTTGGAATTGTCATATTTTACGAGTTTCAGGTCCTCTTTACATTCTCAATCTTTGTGGGTAATAATGCATTTGATCTTTTTTATCCATGCATATACAAAGCTCATTTTTTAAATAAAGCAGAAAATAGTTTTTTTTTCTAAAAAAATTTGAAAAAAACGGACAAATGTAATTTTCTTGTCTACAGTTTGAAGGGATGGATAGGATCAATCTTGGTTTGCTTCTCTTCATTTCCAGCTGTACTTCAGTTAGGAATGGTAAGCTTTCCATCTTAATGTAATTTTTCAAGAAAAACGTTGAAAAAAATATGAAACCTTGATCAAAACGTTTTTTACAAATACCGATATAATTTTGAAATTAATTGTTTCTTCAATTCTCCCCCTATTAGATTTGATTTTAAATTTCATCTTGTAAAATTCTATTTATAATTTAAACTCTCTAAAAATTCTAAATCTTCTGAACCAGTATCTTAAACTCTCCTAAAATAAACTTTCAAAATTTCCCAATAGATCTCGAATGACTCGAATCAGACACTTTTAAATGCATCTGAGACTCTCTGGAAGGTATATGAAACTCTCTGAAACTCTGAGATACTCTTGGAAACTCTCTAAGTCTCTACAGCTTTGTAAAACTAAGTAATCTCTCTATAGCTCTGTGAGGCTCTTTAAAACTCTGTGGTTTACTTAAAAACTCTCTTATAACCTATAAATATCTCTAAAACTCTCTGAAACTATTTTAAAGTCTCTTAAACTCTTAAAATATATCATAGATTATTCAAACTCTCCAAACATTCTCTCATTACTTTCTAATACTCTCTAATAACTCTCGAAAAACTCTCTGAAAACTCTCTTAAATCTATCTAGAAACTCTCTAATACCTCTAAAACTCTTAAAACTCTATTTTCCTAGATATCCGAAGTGTAGAAAAGGATCGTCAACCTCAAACTATCTTTGATCATTACGATCTTGAACACCAACTCTCTCTGATCAAGGAAATCAAACTCAAATAATCAACTGAACCCGCCGAAATATGATTAAGTGATCGCACCAAAAATGTGAAAACTATAAACATGAGCGCCAAACTGGAAGTCCCAAGATTTCTTCGTTTTAAAGTTTTGACCCCATTAGTTTTACTTTCTCAAAAAAAAGATTTTTGTATTTGGTCTTTAATTCATGATTCTCTGCAAACCGTTAACAGAAAATGTATGGAAAATTCCGAGTTAAATCTTTAAATTGTTCACGTCATCATTAAGATAATGCTTTATTGGGTCACCCTGAATTTTGAAGAAAAAATAAAGTTTTTTTTTAATTTGTCTTAATATCATCTGATAAGATATATGTAATGTATATTGAAAACCTGTTTTCTTAAATTAAGTTTAAGTCGTTTATCAAGAAAAAACCTTTGGGACCAATGAAATAAAATAACATCCTCCACCTTCATTTAATGTGAATAATTGTTAGTTTTAGAACGAACATAATTATTTAAATGTTTGCAAAAAGTTTAACGTTAAGTGTATTAATTTGAAGATGTGCAATAATTAGGCTCAGAGAGAAAATATAATTGAATAACTGTTGCAAAAGGCTTGAGAAACTTCAATTTAAATAGATAAATAGCTGGCACGTTAATACATTTATTTAAGCAGAAATATGTAGAGCTGGCAAGTTAATACATCTATTTATGTAGAAATATGTAGAGATGGCACGTTAATACTTCTATTTAAGTAGATACACATAGGTATTGGCACGTTAATTAAGTAGATTAATGTAGTGCTGGGAACGTTAATACTTCTTTCATGCCCATGCTTTAACAAAATTTTCCATTACTTCCGCTCATTAAGTTATGAATGATACTTTTTACTTTTAGGGCACATTAAAACTTTTCGGGGCACATAAAAGACGTTTTTCAGTGAGTTAATTTGAGTTTGAGTGCTAGGCCGCTATGGCTACAAGGATAGACGAGGATCGGTCTCCTGAAAGTGTGACGGTAGTGAGGGGTGATACAGCCATGCTAGTCTGTACTGTCATCAACATTGGCGATAAATCGGTAGGAATTACTCTTTTTTATGGAACTGTTCTTGTTTTTTTTTTCAAGAGAACGTCGAGTGCATGATTCAAAATGGTACACAATTTATTGATCGATTGAAGAGTTTTTATTTTTTTATTTCGAAAATTAAGGTTTCTGTTCCACAATTCCGTGAGTCCCTTTTGAGAGAATACCACAATTGAAGATAAAACATTTTTTAAAAGAAAATCTAGAATAACTCATGAATCCTATATCAGACAAAGCATGGTACCGTTGTGAATTGAATTTATAAACGGATGATCATTAAGTGTAAGTTTTTACTTCACTATGAAAGAAGGGCACCTGATCCTAGGTATAGTATAGTGGTAGATATGGTTTATATATGATAAATGTCCTCAATATCGGATATAAACTTACAAGATAACTATATATATCTATATATATCTATTGATACCATACCTATAACATTTATATATACTATCATAAAGTAGTTAATACTCAACATGTTTGTTTGTCCAATCATAAATCTTGAATCCCTAAACCGATTTGCCTTAAATTTCAATTAACCACCACGGAAATGTTTTAGCTTGGTTTAAGTTGAGTGAATTGACCAAGGAAAAGCTCAGCTGCCAGGCAAAGCATGGATTCCGAAGCTAGCACCTATTTATTGAGAAGTTTCAAGCCTATTAAAATTAATTCTTGTCCTGAATAAATTATAATCTAAAAAGTCGAGAATCTTCCAGATACAAAGAAAATTTAGGTCCAAAAAAAAACTTAATAACTAGTCGTGCCAAAATAATAGTGTTATTGTTAATTTTATGAAATGCTTGTTTACTTGTCTAAATACAATAGTTATTTTCAATTTTGACAAATCATAAAAAAAGAAAAGCCATGATTAATTTAATTTTCATTTAAGTTGGAAAAAAAATATTAAATAAATAACTTAACTTTTTTGGAGAAAATCTGGGAACCAATTAAACTTTAAAGCATATATTATACAGCTAATTTGATATTTTAGCACAATTTATAGCATGTCTAAAAAAATGCATCAGAAGTTAACATAAATGATAAATAATAAAGTACACAATAGTTTCATAATGTTCTTTAAGTATAGATTTTCCTGAAAATTAGTGCAATAAAGATACTTTTAAGATGAGAGAAATAAATCTTATTTTCGTGAAAAATAATTCCTTAAAATATCCTATTTTCAATAATCTTTCGTGATGATTTTGTTTATTGGTAAAGATCAATCTTGCGGAGTGGGGTTTTTGTTCACACTGAGACCATGGAAAAAGCGGAAATAAAGGGGTTAAGAAATACATGGAAACACATGTATATATGAATTGAGCAAAAAACAGGGAGTAAGGAATAGAAGGGAGATATAACTGACGCGGTTCGCCCTACCATATGATTATACATGCTTTGCAGACGGTACTCCATTTGAATAAGATAAATATTTGTCTGGTGTACAATAACCACGTATACAATAACCTATTCTGAATATTTCTTATACAAATGGAGTACCTGTCTGCAAAGCATGTATAATCATATGGTAGGGCGAACCGCGTCAGTTATATCTCCCTTCTACTCCTTTCTCCCTGGCAAAAAGTCGACCAAAGTTGAAAGGTCACCTTCATACTTTTAAAGATCATAAAAAGGGGCTGTATGCGTAATTTCAAGTGACCCTCCATGAAAAGATTATCTCCAATTCACAACGGTACCCTAACAGCTTTACGAGTATAAATTAGATATCAATATTAATAATTTTAACAACAGATTATTTTAAATTGCGATATTATCAGAATTAAACAGTTATAAACCTAGAAAAACAACAATTTCTTACTTATTATTGATCAGATAAAGGTTTCAAGGGTACCCTTGTGTACAGGGCATTGACATCTTTCCATGGAGGGTCACATGAAATTATGCTTATATAGTCACCACAAAAAATTTGGCCTTCAACTCTTAATGGATACTTGCGGAAGTGACTGCCATTGCCCGGGGAAAATTTTTTTGAATTTTGAAAAAAAAAATATTTTTGAAAATAAAAATGTCTTCCCATTCGGTCCATTCATTTGGGAGGCTATAGCTGACATTAAAATAAGTATACATACAGATATATATATGGGCGAAGAGTTTTGTAATATAGATTATTTTGGATTCCATCAACAACAAAAGCAGACAAACCATGTTTACATTGTGTTCAAACAGTTATGTGTTGGTATGCGAAAACATTTCTTGGTAAAATTTCTTGGTCCAGGAAAGTTTTGACTTTCTTTTCATTCATTCCAACATTTCCATGCATTGGGATAAATGTATTGTTTGACTGATAGAAGAAATGCATCCTAATATTTATTGTTTAGACCTAAAACCTAGCTTCTGCTGCTAAAGATACCAATGTAAAACGAGGGGTTTAAAGGAACTGTTAACTTTATTCACGAGGGGTTTAAAGGAACTGTTAACTTTATTCACGAGGGGTTTAAAGGGACTGTTAACTTTATTCACGAGGGGTTTAAAGGGACTGTTAACTTTTTTCTTAAAAAGTTTTTTAATTTTCTTTGAGACAATATATAAATAAAGATTTAGATATCTTTGTATTTCTGTCTGAAAATTAGATCCAAACCAACCGACAGACAAACCAAACAAATGTAGCTGTAAAGGGAGTGAACGCCTCTAAACTTTATACTTATTGTTTTAGGTATCGTGGCTCCAACTAAGGTACCATGCGTCAGCTGAAGTATCCTTAAGGGAGTGAACGCTTCCAAACTATAAACTTATTGTTGTAGGTAGCTTGGGTTCAAGAAAGGGAGCCAATATGTCAGCTTATTTCTCTTTAAAGGGTGTGAAGGCCTTCAAACTATAAGCTTGTTTTTATGTATCTTGGCTCCGGCTCCGGGAGCCAATATGTCAGCTTTTTCCTAGATATCCGAAGTGTAGAA